TTTCTTAATCGTTAAACACTGCGGACTAACAGTATGAGTGCTAACAGCGACTTTATGGTTCTGGATTAGGTTTGATTTATCATAGTTGTAGCATCAGTGTGAGTCTAAATAATCAAACAATATAACTAACTGTTAACATTATTCGAAATACAAACATCATGTAATATATACGTCTACGCGTCCGAAATCATAAAGTCGCTGTTAGGACGCACATGTCCGCAACGTTAAATGATTGAGAAACTTTTTGGTCGCGACCGATGGTTCTTTGGAAAAGTTTTTAGAGTACAATGAAAAGTACAGAGAAAAATTTTTGATCTTGAAATTCAAGGTTAAGGCAATTCATCTATGTTAACCATGGACAAAAACTTTTCTTTCCACCCTGTACAACAAGAAAGAAGATATTTTTAATGATATATTTTTCTTTTTAAAAAGAGAAGAAGCTATCGCTCCTCGACTTGCTCTAATACGATCGTTACCAATGAATGTGTTCAACTTTCAAACGAATATCGTTTAACCCGGTATCGAATTACATCGGAAGTAACTGATTCCCTGAAGTGAATCGATCAATTAATTAATTAACTGAAACTTCTTTCAAGAAAAAAATTTCCATCTCTTGTCTTTGAAGCAGACAGTTAACAGAGCGGCAGATCCGATCCAATTTTACGTTCCGCCGTCTCGAATTTTCTACCACCGCCGGTAGAACGAACTTTTATTCTCCGCCCGCGTGCGAATTTTATCGTGCGCGAAGCTCATCCAAGCGAATATCCAGTTTTGTCGAAAGATTCTCTTACTTCTCTTAATTCGTTCGAAACTTCTTTAATATCGAGTTTCGCCCTGCCACGGAGGAGACCGAGCAATGCACGTTTGCGATTTAATTTCATTAAAAAAAAAAAAGAAGAAAAAAGAAAAAGAAAAAGAAAAGAGAAAGAAAGAGGTGCATAATGCATTCTCCGGCGAGCAACAATAAGAAATCGCAAAAGTTTGCACACAGCGTTTCCCTCGCGAAAGTTTTTCGCTTCCGCGAGAATTATGCAACGCGTGATGTAGTACGTAGCTTCACGTTACCTGGCAGACTCTTGTACAACGCGTGTACACAAACAACAGCACGATTTAATAGTAACTTCGCCGCGATTTATGACGCAAAACGGTCGTACGACGACCATTTCATTAATATTGAAACTCGTGTGAGTTTGTAAAAAGAGATCGCACGACAATAAACCGGGGCTCGTTTAAAAACTTGGAACCTCTGCTTTCAAACTACGTCGTTCGTTTTGTTTAAAAATATTTTTATACCACGTGACGGGTGGATGAGTGAAGACACTTTTCTTCTCGAAAATTTTGTAAGTTGTCACAGTACGTGAAAACATTGGAAAAATTTTTCTTTACGATTAAAATCTGCAACGGACTTGAAAATTGAAGCTTCCCATGTGCACTAATCTTCAAAAACTTGACGTACGATTTTCTCTTGTTGTTTTATTGAATTTTGAATGTTAGGTTTAGATGGTAAAGAGTCAAGAAATTTTCATTACATTCATTTTCGTCTGACGTTTCGTCAAAGTTTCATGAACTGACGTAGAAAAGAAGTCATTGTAAAGGAGAGACTTTAGTCTTCAAATCCGTTTTAGATTCAGTCATGAAGAAAATCGTTTAATTGTTTTTACACACTGTGAGGAGTCGTAGCATTTTCGAGAAGAAACGTGTCTTCTTTTTTCTACTCGTCACGTGATGTAAAAACATCTCAGCCTGAAATGAACGACACTTTTTATTTTAAACTTCAAAATAAGCCCAAGTTTACTATCGCGCGATTTTTCCTTACAAAATGATAACAGTTTAAGTATTTAGTGCATCACGTAATCTAGTTACTCTAAATTACTTTAGATTAAGAATAATCTACGCGCCATGAAAATATCCTTTTTTTTCGTCACAGAATAGTTTAAGCGTTATTAACATAATTATATAATAATTATACATGATGTAACATAATTATTAAAATATTTATTATATAAATTATAATTATACAGTACATTATCTAACAATATGATTATTAAAATATATATTATATAAATAATTAAAATATTTATTATATAAATTATAATTATACAGTACATTATGTAACATAATTATTAAAATATTTAATATTCAAAACTATTCAAAATATTATTTTTAAGTAGTTTTATTATATAAAATAAATTATATATTGTTTGAAATAACGATCAAACTGTTTCATCGATTGATAGTTTCAATATTAAAGGTTAACATTAAAGGCAAGATACGAGTAGTTTTTAATGAGAAGTCACTCACGCTAATTAACAAATGCAAAAGATTCTCAATCCCTCGTATTATTCTGCGTTTTATCATTTACTCGCGGGATATTTCGTCCGGTGATGCAAATGGCAAATTAATCCTATTAATTTGAATCGATGGAAGTGTTGTTGTCGTTGGAACGAGAACAAAAAAGTCGGGGTAGTGATGGCCCACTTTTTTTTAAAAGAATTACTACACAATTTGTTTAAATTATTAAATAATTCAAAAGATGAGCAGAACATTGATATTTGACAACACCTAAAATTTGACAACATTTAAACAGAGCTCAAAATTAATCAATAATTCTATTTCACCCGGACTTAACCTAGTATTAATCAGCGACAATCGGCGCTTCTCGTGACGATTCCGTTCGAAATTAGAAAACGCGATACGTTGGAAACTCTGGCAGAAGAGAGTTTAATTCGGCCGTTCTGTTCCGCGTGACGCCGCACGGAACGCTGAGGGAGAAGCCACCTTCTATTATAAACCGCGTGCTTGCCACACGTGTTCCCCGGAATCCGAAGTGGCAAGTTGCTCCGGGGGAATTTTCCGCCGAAGGACGTCCGCAGAAGGATCGATGCAAACGACGGGCTGATTAACGGGAGCGTGGTTAGCAGTTGGCGTGGAACAAGGAGTCCCACCTGGCGTGGAAACTTTCCAGTCGTTTCGAATATTGTTCGCGGCAGCAAGTTGGCGAAAGTCTCCGTGGGAGACTCTGGCTCGTCGAAAGCCTCTCGAACCGTGTCGCGAACCAACCGTGTCGTTCAGCAGTGTCAGGCGAGACGTGGCGTGGCCGTGCGAGATTACAGGGAAGCGAAAGTTGAAAGGTTCGCGAGACGATTTTAATCGCGTCGTCTCGAATCGCGAGAAGTTTCGGTTCGGTGCTCGAAGCATACTGTTGGATCCTCGCTTGTTCCAACGATCGTCGAGTCGTGCTCTGGAGACTTTCGAGCAGCCTGGTACCATCTGTAAAACATCTGTCGAAAGTTACGTCTGGGTAGCATAATTTGAAAACAAATCGAGTCCGATTGGCTGACTTTTCTCTAAAAAAAAGAACGGCAAAAAAACTCCTCGAGACTGACTACTCGTCAAGTTATTCTACAGTAGAGGTGGCGAACTGGCAGCCCTTTCTCCCTCCACTTTCCTCGTTACCAGCGCTATCCCCTCCACTTTCCTCGCCACTAGCGCTATCCCCTCCACTTTCCTCGCCACTAGCGCTACCCCCTCCACTTTTCTCGTCACTAGCGCTACCCTCTCCACATTCCTCGCCACTAGCGCTATCCCCTCCACTTTCCTCGCCACTAGCGCTATCCCCTCCACTTTCCTCGCCATTAGCGCTATCCCCTCCACTTTCCTCACCACCAGCGCTATCCCCTCTACTTTCCTCTTCACTAGCGCTATCCACTGCATCGTTTTCTCCACTGCGTTTAGCATCGCTGCTCGCGTTAGATATATATCTGTGTACATATAAATTGTTTTCCTTACTGTAGTTGCTAAAGTTGAGAAAAAAATAGAGAAAGTAGTTTGTATGGTAAACTACGGGTTTTATGTTTAAGTTGCAACGCAGATAGACAGCGAATCGATTACCGAGGCAGCGAATGTCGTGCTAATTCTACCTCTCAGCGATTCAATTCGCTCGACATCGAAGAACCCGTAGATCGCCACGCGGGATTGGATCCCCCGCGCGAACGTGTTGAAAAATTGTCGACGACCAGCGCAATCCGATCGAGCGCGACGGTAAGGATTTCAGATCCTCCGTTTCCCAGAAAGATTTAATTCCCCTCCGGATGCGTAGAACATTCCCGAGGTGGGCGAGGAACGCGATCCGTTGCCGAGTCAGCGACGTCGACGGCGTATTGGAGCTAGTATCTTTATGAGAAACATATCGGAGACCCATCGATCGTGTTCGCCCTCCCAATCAAAGCGTACTCTTAATAACCTTCCAATCCTGGAATCGCTCTGGTAATAGTAGCAATATCAAACCAAACTGATCTAGAACTCGATTAAATCAGCAGCCTCGAATCTCATTCCTTCAGTAAGTCCATCTTGAGATATTTCTGTTAATTAACTGCACAGGAGCATGTATAGTATATTTGTGTGTATTAAATGTGCGTTCTATAATTGGATCACAGTGTAATTTTTCTTTGGAAAAATACAAGAACATGAATAGCAAAATCAATCATTGTTTGCAATCCTTTTTTAAAAAATTGCGTAACTATTGCTGCAAATATGGCAGAGAGATCGAGGGGATCTATAGCTTCTTTTTGAAACGTATTCAAGATTTAAATTAAGGTTAGGTTAGGTTAAGTTTCCAGGTTTCACGAGTTTTGATTACCTTATCGCTTGGGAATGTTTAACAGATAAGTTTCTCTTTTTTTTTTAACAATAATCTATTGCTGATACTGAAAGATTGTTTCATATTTATCATATTTTTATCCATACTAGTGAATATGAAATAACTCGCGAAATAACAAGTGTTATCTGTTCCTAACCTATACGTTCTAAATATTTATATGTTCCTAACCTATACGTTCTAAATATTCCACGTTTTTTATATCTATATTCCAGTTTTTTATATTTATATTTATATTCCAGAATTTTTATATTTATATTTACGTTTTTTATATTTATATTCCAGAATGCTCAAAATTTTAAGTTACTGAAAATTACTAAAACTTTGGGTTATTTTAAATCACCAGGGATTTAAAGAGCTTCAAATTACTGGAAATCACTTTAAATTCGGGAAGATAAAAAAGAATGTTGGAAAGAGAAAAGCAAAATGACATTCGTCAGAGAAGAAAAGACGGCTATCAGAAAAGTGTCAAAGGATTTATTGAATTGATTTATTTGAATTACCTTCAGAACGGAGAAGAATCGCAAAAATCTGGGTTTACGAGCTGGAGCGAAATTACTACCCGACGCAATTTTATCCGTTGTTCCGAGTAATTCACATTTCTGCGACGAATGACAAAACAAATTGTAATTTACTCAAATTACAATTTACCTAGGTGGGAAAATTGTAATTCATTGTCGAACGTCAATGGTGGGACATCGCGGGGAGAAAAATATCCGTGATTGATAAGCAAGCTTGCAAAATAATATTTACGTACGCCAATGGTCGCAACCATCTACCAGCTCCGGGTGAGCTGTTTTCCACAACTGGAGATATATCGCCAGTTCAAGCACCACGCAACGAAAATGTCGACTCGTTAATATCTTTGTACAAAGATAATGACGTCCAATTTGAAGTAATTACCTACGTTGCTTTATTACTCGTCCGCTAAAAACATAAATTACGCCGTCGGACAACGTCCGAGCAGAAATGACAAACGCGCACTCTCAATTACCCGACGTGCCCTGGTAATTTTTATTTACCCGGGTGTCTCGCGCAGGTAACGACGAGCTTTCCCGACAGATCCGATACAAAAGACAGGAAGGAAAGAAGAGAGAGAGAGCTGGTTGTCGAGATCGATCCGACAAAGATTGGCTCGTTTGCCGGCCGCCGTTCGAAGACGAGCCGAGAGGACAGGGATTACAGGTTACAATTTGATCCCGGAGCAGTTCACCGTTGATGCAGACGAGTAACGCGCCGTTCGCCGACGTCGTTGAATAATTAACGCTCAGCCAGAGTACACGGGGAGCGAGGGGGGCGGCGTCGGTGAGAAATCGGCGGCGAGAGCGTGTCGGATTGACGAGCGCCGGGTCAAGGAACCGAGACGCGGTCGCGGCGATGACCCCACTTTCCATCCCCCCGAATGCACGTTTCTATTTTCGAACAATTACGACTGCAAATCCGATAAAAACCAGCGAGACCGTAATAACATCCGGTGGTTGTCGAGCGGAGAACCATCGAGGAAAGACACGGATGGAATCTCAACAGCGAATTTCCCGACAACAACGACAACAACGACGACGACGACGACGCGTGTAACGCGAACGCACTCGACGAGGAGAGACGATATCGAGGTCGTGAACGAAATCGAGCAACTCGGATGATTTCCACGGTTTTATCTATCGTCGGGATGGATGTAGAGGGGTTGGGCGAAATAATGGAAACATCTCGTTCGCTTGGAATATTGCTTATTAATAATTCGCCGTTTCAGCGCGGCTTCGATTCCTCTTTCAATACACGGGGGTTCATCCGAAAAATCGTGAATGATATTTAGAGGGTGGTGGTTCAAGCGTGGCCGTTTTATTTTGGAATTGGAGATTTTTGAAACAGGCTGCGTTTAACTCACGCGAACATCAAGAATTTTTTGTCCCATAATTGCAACAATTTTATTTAAATATATTTAAATGTAACCCGGGCAAAATGATAAGTTTACTTCTTAATAATATCTGTCTAGTGATATTATACAGGCAAGTTCAAAAAGAAAGCGACGAATTATCGTATACGGTTCGGTCACTCGTTATGGCCTGCGAACCAGTTGCCAGCTCAATAGGTTAAAATAAACACTTCAAATATATTTTTAGGTTAGAGGTAACATCTGAAACGTAATTTTTACGGGTAATACACGCGTCTGTAATCCATAAATTAAATAAAATAAATTCTGCAGACACTAGTTATCGATAAAAATTTGTTATTTGTAAGAATTCGAGAGGCAAACGCAAGATATATTAACCTCTTGAGCTGAAATGACGCGGTTCGGTCACTCGTTATGGTCCGCGAATCAGTAGCCAGCGCAAGAGGTTAAAATAAACACTTCAAATATATTTTTGGGTTAGAGGAAACATCTGAAACGTAATTTTTATGGGTAATACACGCGTCTGTAATCTATAAATTAAATTAAATAAATTCTGCAGACACTAGTTATCGATAAAAATTTGTTATTTGTAAGAATTCGAGAGGCAAACGCAAGATATATTAACCTCTTGAGCTGAAATGACGCGGTTCGGTCACTCGTTATGGTCCGCGAATCAGTAGCCAGCGCAAGAGGTTAAAATAAACACTTCAAATACATTTTTGGGTTAGAGGTAACATCTGAAACGTAATTTTTACGGGTAATACACGCGTCTGTAATCCATAAATTAAATAAAATAAATTCTGCAGACACTAGTTATCGATAAAAATTTGTTATTTGTAAGAATTCGAGAGGCAAACGCAAGATATATTAACCTCTTGAGCTGAAATGACGCGGTTCGGTCACTCGTTATGGTCCGCGAATCAGTAGCCAGCGCAAGAGGTTAAAATAAACACTTCAAATATATTTTTGGGTTAGAGGAAACATCTGAAACGTAATTTTTATGGGTAATACACGCGTCTGTAATCTATAAATTAAATTAAATAAATTCTGCAGACACTTGTTATTGATAAAAATTTGTTATTTGTAAGAATTCGAGAGGCAAACGCAAGATATATTAACCTTTTGCGTTGAAATGACTCGGTTCGGTCATTCGTTATGGTCCGCGAACCACTTGCCAGTTCAATAAGTTAAAATAAACACTTCAAATATATTTTTAGGTTAGAGGTAACATCTGAAACGTAATTTTTACGGGTAATACACGCGTCTGTAATCCATAAATTAAATAAAATAAATTCTGCAGACACTAGTTATCGATAAAAATTTGTTATTTGCAAGAATTCGAGAGGCAAACGCAAGATATATTAACCTCTTGAGCTGAAATGACGCGGTTCGGTCACTCGTTATGGTCCGCGAATCAGTAGCCAGCGCAAGAGGTTAAANAACGTAACCTATCAAACGCAAGATATATTAACCTCTTGCGTTGAAATGACTCGGTTCGGTCACTCGTTATGGTCCGCGAACCAGTTGCCAGCTCAATAGGTTAAAATAAACACTTCAAATATATTTTTAGGTTAGAGGAAACATCTAAAACGTAATTTTTATGGGTAATACACGCGTCTGTAATCTATAAATTAAATTAAATAAATTCTGCAGACACTTGTTATCGATAAAAATTTGTTATTTGTAAAAATTCGAGAGGTAACCGCAAGATATATTAACCTCATGCGCTGGAATGACGTGTCGCGAATGATTAATCAATCGCCTATTCTGGTTAATAGATTATCTCTTTGACTAGCGTTAGCACCTAAAGGCGCTTTCAAAATTTATTTTCAAGATACTGATAACACGTTAAGTGTCGCGTCGGTCACTGGTGACGTACGAAGCAAATTTAGTACCTCTACTAAATTAAAATATATTAAAAATTGAAAAACTTTCAGAAAAGAATAGTAGCTGAATATTGCTTCTATTATTATATAAACGGTATACAAAAATAATAATGCAATAGTAATTTTAATGAGTTTTAAGTAAGCAATAGGTTTTAAAACAATTTAAGTTAGGTTAGATTTAGGTTAGGCATCCATCACAGAATGTTCCAACTTTCTTAACCTCTTGCGCTGGAATGACGCGCCACGCATGTCGAGAATATTTTGTCCCAAAATTGCAATACTTTCTTAATAGTTTTAAGTATATCTAAGTATAATAAATAATAGGCAAGCAAATAATAAATTTATTACTTCTCAATAATTTCTATCCAGTGATATCGTACCGACGAGTTCGGA